GTCATCTTAATGCCCATAAGATGATCCACAGAGAAGAGAAGCCATATTGTGTGGAGTGCGGAAAGACCTTCTGTTACAATCGTTCTCTTATAATACACCAAAGGATTCACAAAGGAGAAAGACCATATCAATGCATGGAGTGTGGAAAGACCTTTATTGGTACCAGTAGTCTTAATTCCCACAAGAGAATCCATGCAGAAGAGAAACCATATCAGTGTAAGGAGTGTAGAAAGATCTTTACTTGTACAAGTTCTCTTGATTCCCACAAGAAGACCCACATAGCAGAGAAGCCTTACCAATGCATGGAGTGTGGAAAGAGCTTTAGTTGTAGCAGTAATCTTAATTCCCACAAGAGGATCCACACAGGAGAGAAGCCATATAAATGTGTGGAATGTGGAAAGGACTTTAGGTGGAATTCTGCTCTTACCAGGCATAAAAGGATCCACACAGGGGAGAAACCATATCAATAAAGGGAAGTATGAGAAGTGCTTCAATAGAAATCCAGGTAGTCCTTGGTGTATGCCTACAATTGAGCTTGAAAATTTATGTTGCTGAGACAGTTAAGTGAGTTATACCCTGTTTTGCGACTTTCCTTCACACAGTGAATCACTGTTGTTTAGTTAGTAATGTGGTGGTGAAATGAATCTGGCTTCTCTATTGGCTTTGCTTGTCAGAAAGTCATAAAAGGTGATCACATGGCTTAGGAAAACAACACCTTGAATCTCCAAATACCTACGCAAGGGTCCTCTTGGTAGACTTCAGTTCAGCATTCAATACCATCATTCCAGACACTCTTCTAAACCAGCTAGCGGTACCTGAAACATTTGTAAGTGGATCATAAGCTTCCTAACAGACAGGAAGCAGCAGGTGAAACTAGGCAGAATCACATCAGATATCTGTACAATTAGGACAGCCCTCCTCCCCAAGGCTTTGTGCTCTCTCCACTTCTTCCTATATACCAAAGACTGCATCTCAAATGATCCATCTGTTAAACTCCTGAAGTTTGTAGATGATACAACAGTGATTGGCCTCATTCGAGAGAAAGATGAATCCGCATACAGACAAGAGGTTGAACAACTAGCCTCGTGATGCAACCAGAACAATCTGGAACTGAAAACACTCAAAACTGTAGAAATTGGTGATAGACTTTAGGAGAAACCCTCCCATACTACTACCTCTTACAATACTAGACAACACAGTATGAACAATAGAGACTTTTAAATTTCTAGGTTCTATCATATCACAAGACCTGCACTACTATTACTATTAATCTTCCCATCCTTCCTCTCACCCATCTCCTCCCACTTATGACTGTATGACTGTAATCTTGTTGTTTGCATCATAACAATTGTATTGATTGTTTTATAATGTGATTTGGTTGCTTGTTGTATCCTATGACGATTATTAAGTGTTGAACCCCAACCAGGGAAGACTTGCTTTACGAGTTGAACCAAAGATGAAGGTGATAGAATCCATTGGGTTCCTCATCTTGGGACTGCAGTTCCCATTCTCCCAATACTTTTTTATGCCAGACTTGTATATTTAGCCATCTGCTTTATTAGATTTACCTCCCGGAATTAAAAA